CGCCGACCGGGCCGACTCATACAAGCGACGCTATCGCATCGTCGTCATCGTCGCCACCATCATCATCGCCATCGCCGCGATCACAATCACCATCATCGTCGGCGTCATCACCCTCACCCGCACCACCACGGTAACATCACGCTGAATCACCATCGTCGCCATCACACTCCGCATCATCATGATATGATCTCCATCACGGCCAGGATCATCATCACCAGCAGTATCATCATCAGCATCATCACTATCATCATCACCAGCAGTATCATCATCATCACCAGCAGTAACATCACGGTCAGCATCATCACCATCATCATCAGCATCATCAATATCATCATCGTCATCCTCACCATTGTCATCACCAGCATCACCGCCATCAGCAGCATCATCACCAGTATCACCATCATCATCATCACCATCATCATGACCGCTATCAGCATCACCCTCATCGTCGCCATCATCAGCATCATCACCCTCATCATCAGCATCATCATCAACACCATCATTGTTTTCACGGAAGGCGGGGACATGTCCTTAGAAATAACCTCGAGCTCGTTTCCCAAGGCCTCGCGCAACGCAGACGGGCATCATCATCATCATCATCACCATCGTCATTATCATCAGCGTTGTCGTCGTCGCCGACGTCATCATCATCATCATCGTCATCATCATCATCATCATCACCATCATCATCATCACAGTTACAGTCGATCCACGTTCCCTCGACTCCGCGCGCCCTCCCCTCCTTCCCCGACCACCCTCTCTCCTTCCCCCCTTGGCGTCCCTATTTCGATTCTCCCGCCTCTTGCCCTCCTCCCTCCCTCCTCCTCGAGATCCTCCTCGCCCCAGGGATCCCCCCCTTCTCCCAGGGCTCGAGGGCGGCCTGGATCTCCTTGACCTTGGGTCTGGATCCGAAGTCGCTGCAGCTGTACTTGAAATCTGGGATGTCGCCTCATCGGGCGGCGAATGACGAAGAGGGCAAAGTGCGGCAATGATGAGGATGAGAACGAGGTGAGGGGACGAGAACGACGACGACGAAGATGAGAACGATAGAGGACGACTACGAGGATGAGAAATAAAGACAACGACGACGATCACGATGAGGACGACGATTGAGGACGATAAAAGAAGACGACGACGACGAGAATGAAAGATGAGGGCGCCATCACCAGCAGCGGCAGCAGCAGCAGCAGGAGGCACCAGAGCAGGAAGAGGATGAGGCGGCGGATCCACGTAGATCAAGCGCCAGGCGTGGACGGCTCGAGCGACGACGACGACGAGATCAAGAACGATGAGGACAACGACGAGGATGAGAAAGGAAGACGACTACGAAGAGGATGAGAACGATGAAACCGACGACGAGGATGAGACATGAAGATGCTGGCGACGACGAGGATGAGAAAGAGGAGGGCCGCTCCTAATTAAACCCTCCACCTCCTCCTTCCCCTCCTTCTCCTCCTCCGCCTCCTCCTCCTTATTCCCCCCCTCCTCCTCCTCCTCCTCCTCCTCCTCCTCCTCCTCCTCCTCCTCCGCGGCTCCAGGGCGTCGCCGCGCCTAGCAGCCGAGGCGCCTCGATCATGGGCATCAAGAGCACCTGGGGCGGGAGAGGCGGGGGGAGGAGGACGAGGCAGCGGGGAGGAGGAGGGGGGAGGGAGGAGGAGGGAGGAGGAGGTAGGAGGAGGGAGGGGAGGGAGGAGGAGGGAGGAGGAGGGAGGAGGGCGGAGGGCGATGGAGGAGGGAGGGGGCTCGAGGATCTTCTTCCCCTGCGCACTCCCCCTCGATCCTCTCCTTATCGTCATTTTGACCCTCTCATCTCCTCCCTGCCCGGACCCCTCCCCTGGCAGCGCCTGCGACGCGACCTCGGCGTCGACCCTGGCCGCGCGGCCGTGCCGCGCCATGGCGGCGGCCATGGCGAGGGAGGGAGCGAGGGATCGAGCGAAAACGGGGAGTGAGATCGAGGAGGCGAGATCTCGAGGTGGAGGGAGATATCTCGAGGTGGAGGGAGATCTCGGGGTGGAGGGAGCGAACGCGGGGAGGGAGGGGGGCCCAGGAGGCGCCCTGGGCCAAACAATTTGCGCGCGAGGCACGCAGCAAGCGCTATATATAGATGTATGTATATATGTATATATGAATTTATTATATATATATGTGTATACAGTATATATATATATAACATATATATTGTATATTGTATATTGTATATTGTATAGTGTATATTGTATATATATATATATATATATATATATATATATATATGCACACGTACTTATACATGCATTTATATGCAGAGCGCAGAGCAGGCAGCAGTCAACGTCGGTAGCACGGCGGCCATCGGCGACGACAGCGGGCAGCGCAGAACGCGGGAACCAATGAGTCGGTGGCGCCAGGCGGCGGCAATCGACGTTGGCAACGCGGGGATATTCGACGACATACAATTATATTACCAATGTTGACCTATATTTCCTATATATACACATATATCTATAAATATATACATTTTATATATATATATATATATGCAAGCACTGTAATGTGTATCTGTATACATATATATATATATATACATACATGAGGCGTTACCCCTACGATCCGATGTTACACAATATCGTCGGCGACGACTATACGCAAAAATCAAGACATCGCACCAAAAATCAAGACATCAGACCAAAAATCAAGACATGCGACGAAAAATCAACACATTTCACTTAAAATCAAGACGTTTGAAAAATATCAAAACAACCTCTCAATATCATTACGTTTGACGCGTCTTGAAAAAATCAACACTTTGGAGGTCTGGGTAGCAGCGCTCAGCCTGCCATGCCTAGCGGTGGCGCTGCTCAGCCTGCCGCGCCTGGCGGTGATGCCCCACTGCTCTTCGCACTGGAGCACCTGCAAGAGGCCGCCCGCTCGCGCCAGACTGCGGGCCGCGACGAAGCGAGCGCCGCTCTCCAAACGCTGTTGCACTACCACCATGGCGAGACTGCCCCAGGTGCTGTTGACATCACCGATGGCTCAGCGTTTGACTGGCTTCGATGGGTGGCACAGATCGAGGGTGCGCGCGACGTCATCCGGAATGGCGTCCACAGGGTCTACGTTGTCCGCTGGAATCCGCACTGGGCCCCAGAGGCCGTCATCTGCTACGGCAACAACACGCGCAGCACACTGGTGCCTCGCAACGCGCGATACAATGGCTCATGGAGCCACACGCGCATTGTGATTCACCGACAGGCCAATTGGGTGACCGAGCCGTTGCTCTCTGCGGCCCCTGTGGCAGCTACGCCGTGGCTGTTGTTGCGGGATCAAGTGACCTGGGAGTGATCTCTGGCAAACAGCACGTGGTGTTTCTCAGCCTGCGTTCATGTGACACGCAATGCCGTGGCATGCACTCGCGTGGTGCTTCTCAGCCTGCACTCGCGCGGTGCTTCTCAGCCTGCGCTTCCTCGGTACTTGCCAGCCGCCGGATTGGCGCGATTTCCTGCAATACAAGCGGGAGAGGTGATGTATCCGAGCCCGCGTGTCCACGGTGCTTCTCGGCGTGCGTACTTGTAATCCTAGTTCCAGCAGTAGTAGGACCGCGCGGCCGCGGTGCTTCTCGGCCTCCGAGTTTCCGCGGTGCTTCTCAGCCTGCAAGTTTTGCCGACTGTCCGCTTCGCACGCCGCTCCTCAGTGCGCTCCTCTTCCGTTTGCGAGATGTCTTCCAAGATTTGGTTGGAGGCCGAGAAAGACGGACAGAACAAATCCAAGTAGCGCGGTCATCATCCCATCATCCTCCTCAATCATCACATCATCATCATCAATGGATTCGCCGAGCACCCCGGTGGAGACTCAGGTCTTACGGGTCCGTGCCCATACTACTACTACTACTACTACTACTACTACTACTACTACTACTACTACTACTACTACTACTACTACTACTACTACTACTACTACTACTACTACTACTACTACTACTACTACTACTACTACTACTACTACTACTACTACTACTACTACTACTACTACTACTACTACTACTACTACTACTACTACTACTACTACTACTACTACTACTACTACTACTACTACTACTACTACTACTACTACTACTACTACTACTACTACTACTACTACTACTACTACTACTACTACTACTACTACTACTACTACTACTACTACTACGACTACTACTACTACTACTACTACTACTACTACTACTACTACTACTACTACTACTACTACTACTACTACTACTACTACTACTACTACTACTACTACTACTACTACTACGACATCATACTACATCCATTCATGGGAGTGCCTGTTTTGGAGCTACACTCATTGATGCAAGTGTGTCGTTTGAGGCTCAACCCGTTGATAGCAGTGTCTCGTTTGGAATCACATCCGTTGATAGCAGTGTCTTGTTTAGACCTCAATGCATTTATACAAAGATCTCATTTGGAGATACCGTTATCGAAAGCAGTGTTTCTACTGCTACTACCACTGCTCCCATCACTCCTACTCGTTCACTCCACACACTACAACTACTACTTTCACTGTTACCACTACTACCATCACTACTACTTCTACTGCTACTACTACTGTTACTATTACTGCTGCTGCTGTTGCTGCTGCTAGTGTAGCTATTGCTACTGCAACTACTGGCAGTGCCACTGCGACTGCCACTGCGAATCCGAATGCGACTGCGAGAACACCAGAATTCTACAACAGCACTCTTACATGGATACCACAAGCAATGTTTCCAGCTATGCTTCTACACATCGCTGTTAGGTTGCTTTGCCGGGATAATTGTATACATCTACAGATGTGTAGGTGCACATATGAGAACGACAGCCTCTCTCTGTGTAGTGAGGCCTGCTTCATCAAGCTCGCCGGAAAATTGAAATTATGACCGACGGCCGCACATTCTGTTCAGGAGGACTATGAACGAGGAGCTTGCCCGCTCAGCCCCGCGCTGTCACGACGGTGATGCGATCTGGAGCCCTGCTTGTGATTGCTTGCTCTCAACCTAGCCTGCAACCGCCCTTGTGGCCGCCCTTGCTGTGGCCGCCGCCCCCGCCGCCGCAGCCCCCACCGCCCTTGCCGCCACCAGATGGCCTTGCCGCCATTACCGCCCGGGCCACCGCCCTCTCGCCATTGCACCAGCCCCGTTCAGCTCTCTGGTTCAGCTCTTCTTTCTGTTCCCTGTCGGTTACTTCGATGGAGACCTCTTCCTCGGCCTCCACTTGGGACCTGTAGGCCGACCGGAACGCGGCTGAAACGCTCTCGTTGAATCTTCTGTAAGATCCCCACTGCCCAAGGATGTAACCATCCACTAGGTACTTGTGCTTCTCGCTTGTCGATGTGGCTGCCTTAGCATCGATGGAGAAGGCGCCCTGCAAGAACATGTTCGAGGTGTCTTCACTCATATCGATGCAAAGTTTGCCGGGCTTCGTACAAGCAACCTCAAATATGCAAAAAGAGCGCGTCAAATAACTCAGTGTGGGCTCATCTAAAACTACACGAGTGCCATCATGGGCCTTTGATAGATACTGTATGACGCCCGACACTCTCTCTGGAACGAAGTCATCCTGACATTGCCGAAGGGTGATATCCGCCACTGTGCCTGCACGACAGCGGAGTTGAGCGTTAGAATGAGCGTCAGCTGTCCCCAGGAAGTTCTGCAGTTTGCAAGGGGCAGACCCCCTTCATAGCAATCAGCCTTCAAAAATTGGCCTTCCCAATATTGTTTACCCACAACCCTCTCGGCTTCTAGAAGACTCCAGGGCGGCGAACTGTAGCTCCGAGACAGCGCAAGTTGCCCAGACCAGCCCGCGACGGTTCTTCGGCCCGACAACGACCCAACCTGTACACAAGAGGCCCCAAGAGGCCCCCCAGAAACCCCAGGAGGCACCCACAGAGGGCCTCAAGCGAGATGGCACGAGGCCCAGAGCAACGACATGTGAAATCATTTCGAGGCTGCTTGGCTACCTATCTGTTCGGCTGAAGATCGCATCAGGAACACCATAAAAGACTCTATGACCCGCCTAGACGTGCCAAATACGATCGGATCGAGGGTATTCGGGAGAGCTCGATAAAGCCATCGCGCTCAAAACGGCCCCGACACTCCCGACGCGCCCCCATCATACACCCAGGAGGCCCCAGGGAGGGCCCCGAAACGCCTTCAATGGGCCAGAAAAAAAAAACCTTCGAGAAGCCTCCACGATGAATTCCAGAGGGACCATGGAGGGGGAGGTGGTGGTGATCGTGGTCACTGCATATGGGGAACAAATCCCGAGCAGAGCAACAAGCACCACGACCACGACGACACCGCCGACGACGACGGAGACGAGGCGCGCAGTCGATCCGCACCGAGACACCGATTTGGGACAGAGCCCGCCCGCCCTGCAGAATCGATGGAACACCACACATCGTGGAGCGGTGCTGCGGCCTCCTCTGAGCACAGCCCCCCCCCCCCGAGCATCCGCCAGACAAGTCGGGTTTGCACCAGCATGCCTTGCTGGACTCTGGGCGCATTTCGGCACTGCCACTCCCGCCGCCACCCCCTTCCTCCTCCTCCTCCTCCTCCTCCTCCTCCTCCTCCTCCTCCTCCTCCTCCTCCTCCTCCTCTCCTTGCCCCTCCTCCTCCTCCTCCTCCTCCTCCTCCTCCTCCTCCTCCTCCTCCTCCTCCTCCTCCTCCCCCTCCTCCTCCTCCTCCTCCTCCTCCTCCTCCTCCTCCTCCTCCTCCTCCTCCTCCTCCTCCTCCTCCTCCTCCTCCTCCTCCTCCTGGCACCGACTCGGGTGACGGCGACAGCGGCAGTGGCGGTGGTCGACGCGTCCCAGGGCCGAGAAACTCTGAGGAGGGTTGAGTATGAAGAGAACAAGGCTGAGGACACGAGGGGGGGTTTAAGGCGCACGCCAAATCAGACAAGGCACTGAATTGGAACATCTTTCAACTTCGGCCTCCCCTTTTTTGCTCTGCCACGCTGGCACGGTGGCGGGGTTCGCCGAAGACAGCCAGATAATCAAGCCACAAATAAACGTCATCGGGTACATTATGTAAAGTAGCCTCTAGTGGTTGCGCCTGTATGTGAGACACGAACAAAGTAGCCATTCCTACACCAGGGCCTTTACCGGCAAGCCAAACTTCTGCGAGAGACCATTCTTCGTTCTGATTCTGTCTCAGCCATAACTTGATATTCTCGGCAAAGTCGTACCCTGTCAACTCATCGCCGCACATCCCGGTGATGTAGTCGAGCTTGCCGCGCTGTTCAAACACAGTCTTACGGCTGTATTTCTCCGGATTGAAACCTATCATGTCTGCTGCCAGCTGAACGCTCTGCTTTGTCATGCCTAGGAGCAGGTGGAACTCATCATTCTCGGACGTGTCGAACAAACTGCTGAGTTCTGGGCGGGTCCTCATTTCCTGTGTGTCCAGGCCGGAATAGAACTCACTGACCTCGCCCCTCACATTCTGCGTCGGGTGGAACATTCTGGAAAACCAGCCGCTTCAACGCCGAATTTTGCTCCGCAGCCCACCGAAGGTCCAAGCGACAACTGCGCGCGGCGATCGGGGCGCTGGCACGCTGCGAGAGACCCGACCTGGCACGAAGAGAAAGCGTCCTGAGGGGAGCGGATCCAGGACCCCGGGGCCTTCCCCCAGGACCGACGCTTCGCCCCGAGCTACTCTTCTCTGACAGTCCCTGGGCCCGTGGACTCGCCATCGCTCGGACGTCCATTCCCTGTGTTTTTTTGTTCGGTTTCGTGCGTGGTCTTTTTCGCCAAATGGTCAAGGATGCTCCTCGATGGTCCTCGCCGAAGGAAAAATGCACTAGTCCGAGCGATGCCAAGGACCTTCCCCCGGGACCGACGCTTCGCCCTGAGCTGCTCTGCTCTGACAGTCCCTGGGCCCGCGGAGGGCCCTTGTTGGAGGCTACAGACGGCGAAAACACTCAGGACCCGTTCTCCCCATGGCGAACACGACCGCTCGCGTGGACAGCCGCAGCCGGCGCCCGAGCGGCCCTTGAGCCGACGCGGCTGCGCGCCGACCCCGGGACCTCCGACGCCGCGATGCTTGGGCGTTGCTTTAGGGGGGGGAGTTGGGGGGGGGGGGGCGGCGACCAAGGGGGGGGCGGGCGGCGGGGGAGAGAAACGTGACGTGCACCGCTCGTGCCTCTTTTGGGCCCCAGCCGAAATTCTGAGCTTCCCGTTGAGGCGCCGTGCACACTGTATCTATTAGTATCTATCTTTTAGAAATAGACGCTTTTAGAAATTCTCGTGCTCCCGCTGAGGCCTGGTGGTCATAAGATCTAAACGTATCTATTTCGGACAGTGTCTAAAAATATGTTTGCGTATCGGCTGTGTTGCAAGAGTTCCGTGTCTATTAGTGTCTAACTAGTATCTATTTAGTATCTATTTTTGAGCAACGGTATCAATCTTAAAACACGAAGTGGCGACCATAGTAGAGCTGAGAAGACCAGCTTCAAACAGTCCACGACATTCAATCGAAGGTGGCGTGGATGTGTGCACGTGAACGCCTGCATGGGCCTGTATGCATGTGACGATGTGTGCATGCGTATGGGTGCGCGCGGAAGTGTATGGCGTACGTGCTCGCGCGCGTGTGTGTGTGTGTGTGGGTGTGTTAGTGTTAGTGTTAGTGTTAGTGTTAGTGTTAGTGTTAGTGTTAGTGTTAGTGTTAGTGTTAGTGTTAGTGTTAGTGGTAGTGTGTGTGTGTGCGTGTGTGTGTTAGTGTGTGTGTATGTGTGTGCGCGTGTTTGTGTTGTGTTGTGTTGTGTGTTGTGTGTGTGTGTGTGTGTCTGTGTGTGTGTGCGTGCGTGCGTGCGTGCGTGCGTGCGTGCGCGCGTGCGTTTGTGTGTGTGGAGGGCCTTGAAGGGCCCCAAGAGGGCGCCTGGGGTAAGTAAACACAAAGCTTCGAGTCATATACACTGCTGAGGCCCTCTTGGGCCCCTCTCGGACCCCTTCTTCGGCCCTCTTGGGATACTCAGGGGGCCCTCCGGGACCCTCCATGAATCTCGAAGGGCCCCTAGACGGTTCCAAGAGGGCCCGAAAGGGTTCAAGGGGTGAAAGAAACCACAGCCTCGAGTCATGTACACCGCTGGGGCCCCCCGAGACCACGCTGGAGAGCCTCGAAAATGCTTTAAGAGGGCCCCCACGAGGGTTCCAAGGGGGTCAACCCCCAGTCGAAATAAAGGCACGCGACCAACTCGCCAACTCGCCATCCTTCCTCCTCCTCGTCCTCGTCCAACTCGCCATCCTTCCTCCTCCTCGTCCTCCCCCTCCTCCCTGCTCCTCCTCCTCACTGCTTCCTCCTCCTCCACCTCCAGTGCCGTCTCGCAGGGCCCCAATAAGGCTCCAAGGAGGGCCCAGGAGGAGTCAAACCGAAATCACGCGAGTGCCCTTCTTGGGGCCCTATTGAGGCCCTCTCGGGGCCCTCAAATGCCGTTACGGAGAGCCCCAAGAGGGCTCCAAGGGGGCCCCCCAGAGATCTAGGAGTGGCCGTGTGTCTATACATATATATATATATATATATATATATATACACACACGCACACACGCACGCACGCACGCACGCACGCACGCACGCACTCACGCACGCACGCACGCACGCACGCACGCACACAGACAGACAGACAGACAGACAGACAGATTGACAGGCAGACAGACAGACAGACAGACAGACAGACAGACAGACAGACAGACAGACAGACAGACAGACAGACAGACAGACAAACACACACACACACACACACATACACACACACACGCACACACACACGCACATCCCTTAGGGATCCTTAGGGAATCCTCCGGAATCCCCGAGGAATCCCGCGGAAGCCCAATCCTTTGGGAATCCTTCGGGATCCCTGGGGAATCCTTAGGGAATCTTTCGGGCACCCTTAGGGAATCCCGTGGGGAATCTTTCGGGTATCCTAAGGAATCCTGTGAGAATCCTTCAGGGATCCTTCAAGAATCCTGAGGAATCCTTTCTGGGAATCTTGAGGAATCCCTAGGGAATGCTAAATAATCCTCAGGAAGCGTTAGGAGATCTTAGGGAATCCGGAGCAATCCCGAGTGAATCCTATGGAATCCCTTGGCCTTAGGACCCCCGAAAGAATCCATTGGAATCCCTTGAAAGAATCCATTGGAATCCCTTGGGGTCCTTAGGGATCCCTAGGGAATCCCTATGGAATCCTTAGGGAATCCTTCGGAATCTGTAAGAATCCGCCAGGAATCCTTAGGAATCCCTAGGGAATCCTTTGCAAGCCTATGGGGGAAAACCTTAGGAAAGCAAGCGGAAATCTGTAGGAATCCCTATAGGGAATCCTCAGGAATCCCTCGGGAATGTTTAGGACTCCCTATAGGGGAATCCGCAGGAATCCTCCGGGAATCCTTCAGCAAGCCTTCAGGA